GAGCGGAGCGTGGTCTAGCAGCTGCGCTGCCCTTCCCGTGGCAGCAGGACGAGAATGCCGGAGCACGTGGGAGCTGCAAGGGAACCTACATACTGTGAACATCGGACAAAGCTTTAGTACCAAGCCTGCTGTGCCGTTGATCTGTGCTGGGCTCCTCTCTCCTCCAGTACTAACTCAGCCCTGCCTGGGCTGGGATTATTCTTGTCTAGCAGGGTAATGCACCTTCCCTGCAGCCTGCGTCTAATCCGGCTGTTGGTCAGGTAGGTCAGGTGGTCCTTCAATCCGGGATTTGGACGGTACTCAACAGAAAGGATCTGCTGCCCTCTCTCCTAGCTTAGTCCTATTTTTGTGCATCTTCTTGGCTTGTCATCGTTCCTAATTGCCTGTTCCCTTGCACCGAAGTAAAGACTCTTGCTCTTGCTTTGCTAGGTTTTAATACCTGGGACTTGGATTGTAAATTCTTTTGAGGCTCAGGCTGTCTGTTCAGCGTGTGTATAGCACGAGACGCCCCACTGAGGACTGCTAGGCATTATTAAAATACAAATAAATAAGCATTATAATGGCGCTGATGCCTTCTTAAAAGAAGGCTGCACGTGCTACAAACAAAACATTAGTTCCAAGCGGAAACAGCAGGGCATGACGACATTTGTATAATAGCCAGCAAGCAAGGCCAGGTGCGGGGGATAGGACAGGGTTTTACTCGGCCCAGGGGGTGCTTTCCGCTCTCTGTGTTGGAGCTAACCCCATGAATCAGTGGTGATTGCTCTGCAGGGAACGGTGGTGACTCAAAGGGGTGTTCGGCTTTGTTGCCAGAAGGGGCTGGGCTGCTGGGAAGAGGGGGGTGAGTCAGCAGGGGCTGCTGGAGTCGTTAGGGATCCTAGTACCACTGTATGATGCTGGTTCCTGGAGTCACCCTGAAATGAAGAGGAGTGTTACTTTTTGATGTGCCAGCCAAAAAACTCCCAGCGCTCGATAGCTCAGGAGACCCATCCACATTCCAGCTAAAGCCATTTATACCGACCTCTTCTTTTAATTTCCCTCCCCAGCCTATATCAGATGCCTTGATTTCCACTACATCCTGTTTTATGCCATTGGATGCGGGCCTCTTAATGCTCTCGGTCCCAGAGATGGCTGCATTTCCACAGCAGGGTGCGTATTTCTCTCCCCCTGTTGGCACTCGTTACTTGGTAATCCTCGCTGTTCTCCACACAAGTTTTCTCTCCCACATCACAAGCACGGCTTTCCTAAGTAAAGGACTCGAATTTGCCAGTTATTCCGCGCTTTCCAGCCTGATAAAATCAGACCCACCCATCCACACATCTGGGGCAGATTAGGCCTGGCTTGTCCTGAAGCCTCAAGCTTCACCGAACGACTCCGTCCTGCAACAGTTGATTTTGTGGTGGGATCCAGTGCTGGGTTTTGGGAGCGAATTTCCTCTCGGCGCTAGAGAAGGTCAAAGTGGCAGGTTACTGCGCCCACCTGCTCGCAGAGCCCACGACGGAGGGGACTGTCAGGACTCTGAGGCTGCAACGTGCTTTCTCCGCTTGCTGCTTCTAGTTATTTTGAAATTGCCTTTCAAACGTATCCCTGTCAATGTGCAGTATTGGAAAATGCATATTGGATCTATAGTGCTGTAAGAAACGGGCTATGGAGTATGGTGTAGTGCCATAGCACCCATCGCAGAATCATGGAGCAGGCGGGCGGGAAGGGACCTTCAGAGGTCACAGTCCAACCCCCTGCCTGAAGCAGGATAACCCCTGTGTGCCCATCCCAGCCAGGACTCCTGGGTCTTCTGCCAGGCTCTGCGACTGACTCTGAATTGTGTCATGGCTCTATGCCTCTGCCATCAGGTTAATGCCTGAAAGACATGCGAGAGGCACTGAGGTGGCAGCTGTGCCATTGTTTTAGCAGGGCATTGGGAGCCAGGACTCCTTGGCTCAGAGAAAGGAACTGGGGTCTCGCGTGTTGGCGTGAAGAGGGCTGGAAGTCGGCTGTGGGAGAGCAGTAGGGTTGAGCAGTTATGTGAGAGCAGCTCGATTGTTTTTTTCCCAATTTGGGACAGTCGTGAAAACGCCTTGAGAGCCTTGCACAAAGGATGCTGGAGGCAGACAAAGGAGCATTGTCCGGCCCCAGGTTCTTCTCTGACAGCTGCTGTGCTTGGTGTCCTATAGGCTCCATTAGGCAGCCTCTTGGCACCTCACGTTCCTGCCAGTCACTGTTTTGTAACGACAGCTTTTCAGTAGGCTGGGCAAGGGCTCGCTCTCAGTAGTGGTTCGGACAGCGCACTGGTTCTCAATCGGGTTAGATAGCCCTCATTAGACTCCCCCCAGAAGTGTCAACTTTTAGTTTGCATTTATTTCTTCACTATAACAAAAAAATCGAGCGATTCTGTTGGAAGGAACTTGGAAAGATCACAGCAGCTCAGAGTGTTTTTAACACGCTGGATTCCTATCTGTAGTCTCTGGGTATATCTTGTGAAGGCTGCTTGCACACCTCACCCTGCCGCACCCTTGAAAGGATCTCAAGGCACCCCAGGGCGCAATGGCACCTTTGGGGAGAATCGCAAATAGAGGCACATCAGTCTTCACAAAGCAATGCTTGGTTATGGATTAATTAAAATAATAGAAGCCAGGCCTTGGATTGATGGCAAGACAGCATGGGAAAGAGGTGACATTTTCAATGTGTGTTTAACCAAAGGGAGAGGCCCATGACAGTCCCTGCAGAAATCTTTGCACTCTACAAATCTGCAAACAAGCCAGTAAAGCCTGGTACTTTCAGATGGTACATATCTGTGCGCTAACTTCCAGCTGCCTTTATCCCTTCTCCTATATTTCTCTCTCTCTGGAAGTGTCATGTGTTTGCCTTGGGGGAAACAACCAGCATCTTCTCCCTGAAATGATTTATGGTCCCACATAAATAAATGTGTCCTCTTTACGTTCCCCTCTCCCCTGCCTGCCCCACTTCCAATCCTTAGAGGTCATGTTTTCCAGGATGAAACGAGGAGGGTTGGAAACTATTTTTTATAATGACCTCTGAGTTTCTCATGTAATTTCATGACTTCAGGAGCTGTGCCTTGAAGCAAATATCAATATTGCCAGATTTGCAATAAAGTGATGAAAACTGGCAACACTGTCGGGCCAGTCCTGGCAACCGCCTTCTTCAAAAGGAGGTTGAATTTTGGAGAAGGGATACAAAGAGCCCTAGCTGGAGGGCTGTAGAAGAGTGACATGGGGGAGAGACAAGAGGAGCTCTGCCTGCTAAGGAGAAAGAAGATTGAAAGGTGATTTGATTACAGGGTGAGAGGACCTTCCCGAGGAGAAAATACCAGGTACCAAAAAGCCCTTTATCTAGAACAAGCAAACTGAAAGCAGGCCCCCTTGAACGAGAAATTCAGCATAAACTTTTAACGACAAAGGGGAAAACCAGTGGAATATGCTCCCCTGGGAAAGACATGGACTTCCCATCTCTTGGTGTTTTCAGATCAAGACTGGAGGCCTCAGCCAAACAGTTACTGGCGTAAGTGGGTGAAATGTGATGTCCCATGCGCCAAACAAGAAGGTCTGAGGATCCCCTCTGCCCTTAAACTCTGGGAAACTATGAGACTTGTAGTGTGGGCCAGGCCTCTTACGATGCAGTGTCTTCCTCGTCATTCCATTCATACCATCTGCACGATTGCGGCTCGTTAACAGCCACAGATATTGTGAACGCCATAACATGTAGGGTTTTAAAACCATGTATGTGGGTCCAGATCCTTAGCTATCATCCCACCAGTGGGGTGATTTATAAGTTTTGATGAAGCAGCAGCTACGTTTGGAGTTTCAAGAGAAATAAATACATAGGCTATTTCCAGCAGGGAGATGCTGAGGTTCCAATGAAAACCAACTTTCTGAGCAACACGTCTGGGGAAAGCTGGCCAAGGAAGCTGCAGGAGATGTCATGCCACGGGCAAACAGCTTCATATTTTTATTGCAGATGGATGACTAATTTGCTTGCATCTGTGCACTTTGCTCCCCGAGGAATCTCTGCCCTTCTGGGTCACATCCAAGCCCTGCTGAAGTCAATGAAAAAGCCCCGTTTGCATAACCCAGGCTCTGCATTCTCCCAGATTCGACGTACGTCACACGGAGGCGAGCTGCAGGGTGGCTACCCCTTGTGCCTTTATCGCGAGTCTTGTGATTTCTGGTTGCTTTCTTAAAGTTCCCATTACTGGAATTGAGAGAGAGGTCACAAGAATCTCAGCTGCTATTTAAAAGTAAAAGCAAGGTCCAAGCCGGGATGGTGGCAAAGAAAAGGTGTGGAGACGTCAGGCAACTGCATCCTTGGAGAGCCAGAAAGAAGGCCAATAAAAAGTGCAATGTTTCTCTCGCTCTTTCTGGGCTGTCACACTACACTATCACCCTTGCATTACCTTACTCTTCTCTCCCTCATTTAATTTCATGACTATCATCAACTCCTCGGCCTCCAGAATCGTGCCTCTCTTTGTGCATCTGAGACTGATTTGATTACGGATGGGTTTCCCCAAGCACCTAAGTGAGCCCAGAGCTGGTGAGCAGCACTGGGGCATGCCCTCCTAAATTAGCTAGGCAATGCTGGCAGCTCTTTTGCAGGCAATACCCGCCTGTCAAGCCCAGAAGATTTTTCTTCCAGGCTGAGAGAAGCCAGGCGTTTGAAAGAAAACATTTGCCTTTCCTCATAGAGAGCCGTCATGCATTTTAGGCACTATCAATGCCCTGGAGGGTGGATCTATTCACTCATTTGGAAATCACCTCCCTCGGAAAATTTTGGGGGAGAAAGTGGCAAGTTTAACAGCCTCTGCTTTGTAGCCTCTTCTGAAGAGAATGCCCCAGGCCTCCTGCGGGATGCTGCACTGCTCTGCTCTGCAGCTAAGGAGAGCAAGAAAAAAGCACTGGGCTGGGCTGGGCTGGGGCAGGGGCTGGCTTGTGCACTTGGCCCCGGGGAGGGGCTTGCCTGCTCTGACTCTGGGTGGCAGCGTTATAGCTCAAGCATTGGCTCACTTCAGAACGGGGAGGGAGCAGCTCCGGCTGAAAGCATTGCAGCCCACAGTGTGTTAGCTCGGAAAGCAGGGGGGTGAGGGGGGGAAGAGAAGAGGCTGCTCTCCCGGGCTGGCAGTCGGACACAGCTGCGTTGGGCTTCAGGTAAGTGCTGCGGGGGGCTGTCATGTTCCTGCGGGAGCTCCTGAAACTTTGGGAAGTGGCGTGCGTGCGAACCTGTGCCTGGCAGTGCCAGCTAGCGCATGACAGTGCATGAGACAGGAGCCCAGAGTTGGGGAAGAGCCCAAGAAGTTAGAGCCAGGACTCCTGGGTTCTCCCCCAGCTCCCGGAGTGGGGTCTAATGGGTTACAGGGGGAGGGGGAGCGCTGGGAATTAGGACTCCTGGGTTTTAATGCTGGCTTTGGGAGAGGGCTGGGAGTGAAGGGCAGGGGACTGGGAGTAGAGAACTAACACTCCTGAATTTTTCCCTCTGCTCTTGGAGGGGAATGGAGGGTTATGATGAGAGCAGGGGGCTGGGAGCCCGGACTCCCGGGTGCTATCCCCAGGTCTGGGTGGGGACAAACGTCTGGTGAGTCAGCGCCTGGACTCTGGCAGTCAGGACTCCTCAGCTCTGGGGAAGGGTGGGGGTCTGCTGGTGGGAACAGCAGACTGGGGACCAGGACTTCTCTTCCAGGCTCTGCAGTGATTCACTCTCTTATCTTGTCGGCCCGGGGGGGGGTTGGGGGGTTGACTGTCTGCCTGCCTCAATTTCCCTATTTGCAAAATGGGGGTAATTCCTTTCCCAGCCATGTGAGCACGAGGCATAACTGCAGAATGCTTGCGAGCTGCTTTCTGAGCCTAGATAAAAAGCAAAGTATTATCTCTTTCTCTTTCTCTCTCCCAGCCAGAAAAGAAGCCTATTTTTCTGCAATGGTAACTGGTAGCTTTCCCCTTCTCTAGGCCTATGGGCTCGGTACTGAAATGCAGTTCTACCCAACTTTGTCTCATCCTGTGTATTTGCAGCCAAGGCTGGATTACCATGGTGTTTGTTTTTTGGGGAATAAAATCCCAAATCAGTAGAGTTTAGTGAAGTAAGTTCATCACTTTTACTGCTTGCCATGAGAGGGGCGAGGAAAAAGACACTAAATCTCATCTGTTTGAAATCGGGTTGTGATTCTTTAAAGACCAAACTCTGCCTTTGTAAATTTAGAGTTGTGTCAGGGTATCAGTTGCTCTTCTATAAAAAGCTCTGATTGGCTTTCTATGTATGTCATTTTTAACATCTATGTTACATGTCAATGACTAGCATTAAAAGTAGCAGCTGTGAAGTTTCTATCTATCTTTAGATTAGATTGAGTAAATTGAGATCCTTGAAACTGATACCGCATGCTAAAGGGTTGGATTCTCATTAACGCTTGTGTTTGAGGCCTCTTGAGAGAGCACAAAAGGGCTTTGGGGCAAATGAGAACTAAGCTTGATGGATCTGAAAGAAGTGATGTAGTCTGGATGCCCCTGGGAAGTCAAGCAGATATTCCTCTTAAAAGTTTTTATCTCAGCATAGTAACAGAGAAGTGGTCAGTGCCCAGTCCTGCCGTCAGTGCTGCTTGGTTCCAGCTGTTTCACTGGAAGACGTAAGAAACCCCAGAGTAGATACGGAATAGCTAGCTCCAGGGGAGAAATTCCCAGGGGTTAAGAGGTTTGCTCATATCTTCTTAACGGATATCAGCAGGATGCTGATGCTAAGTGTAGTACGACCATTAGTTGGATGCTAGTAGCATCAAAAGAGCTCTGGTCAAATTGAGCCCCCTGTTGTGAACACTAGAGCCAGACAGGAAGTGAGTAGGGTGAGTGAGGAGGGTCCCTGCCCTGAACAGCTTTCTATCTAAATAGATGGGATGGGCAAAAGGCAAAGGGGGCGATTGAGGCACAGAAAGGTAGTGTTATCCACAATCACCTTGCTGTTTAGGAGCAGGCACAGATCCCAGGTGTCCAAATGCCCAGTTCATTGCCTCAACCACTATGGGACACACTACTACTTATTAGCATGTTTTTTAGTTCATATACATGTTAATGGGTTTCCCCGAATTGGAGTCTGGTTATCTCCCTACGTCCTTTTCAGAGTTCCCCTTTCTACTCTTGAATGTCTCTTTCCTCCCCACTGTGGATGACCTCAACATCCTCATCATCCAGCGGATTGAGAAAGCAGGCTCCAGTGCACTCCAACGGCAGTGGTGTGCTGTAATCTGGCCAGCAGGAGGTGCCGGCAGTGGGGCCTGTTGGTGTCCAAAGCTTGCATGACCTGCCAAGAGCTTCTGCGGGCCTTATGGCATAGCAGTCAGTCCTTCTGCCCTATCCTAATTCTTTGCCATGTGTAGTTCTGGCAATCCTGATTCATGGAAGGTTTTTTCTTCACTTCTGAATCCTTGTCTCAGTAGATCTAGCTTTCCCCACAGGAGATCACAGTGGGCTTGGTTTTCCTTCTAGACCTGGGCACATTTTTTTTTTTTTTTAATTTCATCAAAGTTTCATTCTGCTTACCAGGCAAAATCTCAAGCTCTGAGCCTTGCAAGCTTCATAGTTGGGGTCTGGATTAAACCCGATGCTGAGGGTTGGCCTGGCCTGGCTTCATTGGTGGGTAAAGGTGGTGTTTTGTGGTATCTTTCCAACGAGGAACCTGCGTTGCTCTGTGTACTGTAGTTTCCTTCTGGAACGTCCATGTGCTTTTCATTTCCTGGTTCGTCTGTGGTCTTGACCAGCTCGGTATCAACCGTGAAGCGACACGCTAGGGAGCTGAGGACACTTAGGAAGAGACTTAGTGGACTATGAGATGGGCAGTGGCCAGCTGGGAGGTTGAAGTCTTGGGCCCTTTGAAGAGAGATTGCTTTTGGAACTGTTTTGCCGAAGAGCTTTATTGTTTTGTGTGGCGAGAAGAATGCTTTTGGGAGGGGAGGGTTCAGCCACTGGATTGGCACATTTTGAACAGGGAGTGGTGCTGGATGGGTCAGGGGATTGGCATTACTCTGCCTATTGTTAAATCTGAGGGTGTATTTCTTACATGCTACTCTGAACACCAAACAGGTTCCTAGTTCATACATAGCGAGGGAGAGTTATGTTTCTCCCTCCTCTTATGTGAATATTCAGAGGACTGAAAAGGTGAAGCTCCTTTTTCAGAGAATCAGTGACAGATACAGCCACCTAGTGGACAACGGGAGAACCAGAGGGATCCCAGACGAAGAAAGACCCCTTCTCTGGCTCCCAGACTCTTTGGGTCAAAGTATCCAAGGCCTTGTCCATCTTACAAAAGTTTGCTAGCAGAGCTATGTCAACCAGGGGCCTGGAGACATCATGCCCCAGAACAGCTGTAGCTATCAGCGATGGTAGCAGCCCCACAGTGTGGACAAGGCCAGAAAAAAACAGTCAACACATGACATCCTATTCCTTTAAAAACAAAAAAGAAAGGGCAGGGTGGGGTGGTGGTTGGGGGGTGGGGGATGCTTTTTATTATAAGGCCTTGGCCACATGAAGAATTTAGTCATGGGTACAAACCTGTAGTGTATTGATGTGTAGCACAAATTGTACCAGTGCAGTTCATTGGATTCTAGGAAAGTTGGGCTGAAAGGTCACATTTAATTCAGCCCCCTGCTCAGGGCAGGATCCTTCCTGAGCCATCCTGGTCAAGCGTCTATCCAACCTGCTCTTGAAAATCTCCATGGATGGAGACTCCACAGCTTCTCTAGGCAATCTGGTCTGATGCTTGACCACCTTCAGACGCAGGAGCTCCTCATCTCCAACCTTAATTTGCTTTGCTGCTGCTTGAGGCCATTGCTCCTAGTCCTGTCCCCTACAGCCACAGAGGAAAGGCCATCTCCATCCCCTCTATTATCATCCTTCAGGTATTTGAAGACTGTGATCAAATCCCCCTTCAGTCTTCTCTTCTCCAAACCTTTGCTCTTTCACCCTTTCCCCATCATAAGTCACGTTCTTGTGTAGAGTGTCTGTGCGAGGGGAGAGGGTCTTCGTTGTGTCATGCTATGGACGCGAACTGTAAGTGCTCTTTAGTGGTGATGTTGTTTTCATTTACTTTGCTGCTTTCACTACTGTAAATGAGGATTGAAGAAGGGGGCATTTAATGGAGAATCCTGGCCTATGAATTTGGATGGGTGGCTAAAATCCCAGTCCTGGTTCTATCGTACCTCCATTGCTTTTGCTTATCCATGGCTGTGTTTTTCATCAAGTTTTTCTAACATAAGCAAGATCCTAAGGCTTAAATCTTAGCAGCTAAAGGATGGGGGCCTCATCCTTCATGGTTTTGCATCACCTGGAGAAATGTAACCCCATGAAGAGAGTAAATTGTTGCTACCATGTGCTGTGGATCACTTCTACGTTACTCTTCTCTGCCTTGGCAATTCCACTTGTGCGGGCCGTCTCCAGATTCCATCCTCGTCGCCATGTGCGGGCGGCGGGGAGCGATCTGGGCCCTTTTTTGCACCGCGCGGGCTGTGGCCAGCAGCCCGGGCTCGCTAGGTTGGAGAGAACAGGTGACACGCTGGAATTAGGCACGGACGCGTAATGGTTGATTCAAAGATTATTTACTTACACCGAAGATGGTCGCGGTGCAGGCAGGAAAACTTGCTTGAGTTGCGGTTACAGACAGGAAAGAAGAGAGGCGGACAAGAGTTCTAAACTCGCGAACTCTAGCCCTATCCGGCTGAAGGCTCTAAACACGCGAGCCCGTCGTGTCATCCGAAGAAAGTACTCGTACAAAAGAGCTCTAATCCTTTTGTTCACTCACAATAAGTTTGCTAGGCTCCGTGGGTCCTTTTTTTGCGCGCAGGGAGAGGGATACGTCGAGGATTGCGAACGGCGACGGGGAGAGGCTAGAGGCTGATCAGACCCCTGTTGCCTGCTTGAAATGCACTGGGTCCGATAGGCTCCGCAGCGCTTAGAGATCTTCACACAGCGTGAAGTCTCCTCCTCCTGGTGTTCGTGGAGTCCTCCCTTGCGGGGGTTCTCCTCGGAGGTCTCCAAGTTCTCCAACTTGGGCGGAAACCACTCAAGCTTTTTATACGGCTAGCAAGCCAATCACTAGCCGCCACGTGTGAATAATTTAACACAATCCAATAATGGGGCTCGAATTATCATACAAATGGCGGGAACTCTTTGCACCGAGCATTTCTTGGCTGCAAAGAAGAAATGCACCCTGCAAAGAAAGCTACAATTTGGCGGGAAAATAATTCAGTGGTGCCAAAGCGCACACAAAACAAAAATCACACCCTTTGGGTTGTGACACCACTGAAGCCTGGCTGGTGTAGAAGTGGAGAAATGTCATGGTACATCTGTGTCTCTGTGAGTGGGTGGAAGTATTTACCAACTATGCACAGGTATAAATTCAAACATGAAATAGGAAAGGAGGTCAAATGGGTCCAGGACTAAAAAGCAATGAAATGGGATGTGGAAGACCAGAGTTCTTTGCTGCTGGTCCAGCCGGCAACCATGGCTAGATCACTTTCCCTGCTCTGTGCCTTATTTTCCCCATCTGTAAAATGGGCATCATAATACTGACCTATGTAAAGCCCTGTGAGTTTTGCTGTTGAAAAGTGCACTGCAAAAGCTTGGGGAAGCTTAGCTTTTGCAAAATGAAGCCGCTTAAGAGACAAATCCAGAATGCTTGTTTGAATTCCTGCATTCATAAATGAGTATTCCCTTCCCACCTCTGCAGTGCAAGCACTGCAATATGTACTGCTGAATCGATCTCTCCATAGTGCACCCGTCATCATGGTAACAAAGGTCAAGATCCTGGGATATGATGGAGAATATTATGACATGTTCTGTAAGCACTTTGAGGGCAAAGACTAGCTTTCATTTTTGTATTTGTACAGCACCTGGCACGATGGGATCCTTGCCCATAACTAAGTCTCCTAGATGCAACCACCATGGCATAATTGGGTACAGCCTCATATACCCTGTGCTATACTAGTGGCCCCATTTTAAGGAAGGATATTACAGGTGCGTAGTGGGCTTGAAGGACAAGGACTAGAATGATTAAGGGCACTGGAAAAGCCCTCAAAAGAAGAGGGAGTTTGAAGACTGGGCTTGTTTACCATGGGAAGGAGGCCAGTAAGAAAGGATATACTAAACATCTATGAAATACTGAAGGGTCTGGAGGAGATAGAGGGGGGTCTCTAGTTCTCCACATCTCGTAATGCAAGAAAGAGGGGATATTCGATGTAATCAAAAGATGATGAGCTCTGAACAGATCTCTCGAAAAACTTTTTTTTGCTGTAGAGTGTAGAACTACTTGTGCCATGGGAAGTTGGTGAAGCCACCAGTGTAGCAAGATTCAGGAAAATCATGAGAATACTTGGAATCATAACTGTTTCAATCAAAACATTTTGGGACATTCAGAAAATTTAGAACCTTAAACTTTGAGGGTTTAAACCCATCTCCAGCGATCAGAGATTAAGAAAGGCCCAAACTGAGGTGGAGATGGGGGATAGGTTTTTATCACTTCTTCTGATTTGTTCTTAAACTAATCATAGAGTAGTTAATTATTGGAATAGATTGACCTAGAGCAGTGGTACAATCACAGCTCTTGGAGGTTTTCAAGACCAGATGAGATATTTATCTCTCAGGAATGGTTTAGTTGTAGTGGATCCTGCCTTACAGGTCCTGTCTAGCTTATTCTGTATGCTTCTTTGATACCAGACTAGATAGGCCTAGATATGCTCCAACCTGGACATTCTTCAGCTCCTGTGAGCTCTGTGGGGATCCGGGGATCTGCTAAGGCAGGACTAGGGTTCACACACGGACAGATATGAAACCAAACTGGTTCTGTTGTGAGGAGAGTAGATCCAGCACACCTCCAGTGAAAAGTCCATGGGATGACATTTCTTTTCATTGTAGTACTATTGAGTGATGTCAACAAAGGCACACAGTGGGGAGGATTTCTGTGGTGCTTCGTGCAGTGCCTTCCACTTGAGGATGTGGAAATATTTTGCTTCCACACTTGGACAGTGCCTCACACAGCGGTTTTCTGACCACAAGAGCATTCCTCTTCCACGGTAGCCACAGAAGTCCCGTATTACGCCCCCCGCTTCTCTCTTTCCATTTTCCTCACCCGCAGTGGCACCAACCTTCTGGAGAGCTGGAATTCCCTCCAGGCCCTGCTCCCCACCCAGTTCCAGATGGTCCATCTCAACCTCTTGCTGATCTATGATGCATGAATGAAGCTCCTACTTTTTCCCCTTGTTTTTTTCCAGCTCTCTCTTTCCTTGCAGATGCATGTGAGTATAACCTGGCAGCTCTGGGAGGGAACTGGAACACGGTCAGGAATACCCAAGTTCTGTTCCTACCTCTGCTGCTGACTGGCCCTGTGATCTTAGGCAAATTCCCTTATGCTATGCGTTTTCCCCTCCCATGCATGGCCTGCCTTGTCTAATTAAACCATCAACTCTTTTTGGAAGAGGTGATTAGAAACAACCTGTTCTGAAGACTTTTCTTTCCCCTACTGCCAGAGCCCTAGTGCAATTGAGAACCAGCTTGGTCTTGCTGAGAAAGAAAATTGCTGAGCGCTTCAGCAATGATTTTTGACACACTCAGCATTCCTGTCCCTCAAACAGCCGAAGAGCAGCGTGTCCGAGGCAATCAGGGGCTGCCTTTTGTTTAGGAGTCTGATGGGAGGGGTTGCTGCTGGTCGGCCAGAGCAGGTGCTGAAGGGAGCCGTTAAACTGAACCTCTGGGGCTGTGCCAAGAAGGAAGGATATAGAAGGGAAGCTGCCACCCCATCAGCAACAAGCACGAGCAGGACCAAGCAGCTATTTTTACAGAGAAATGGGTGTGGCGGGCATTGCAGAGGAATACGCCGTTGTTTGTAATCTTGCGCATAATATGCCCTCTCCTGTCACAACCATTACGGAGTCCTAATCTGGAAATGTTAATCTTAGAGAGTGGTGTTTTGAAGGAGCTGGGGGAATTAGGTGTCTAACTCCTCTGTTCTCCTTTTGAAACCCCAGCTGAAACAATTGTCAAACAGGGACAAGAAACTCTGGACTCATTTGAAGGCTTCCTATCTAGTATTGGGATATTATGAATTTCATAATTTTGCTATTTACAATGTACTTTTCCTACTGTTTTGTTTTTCTCTCACTGGTAAAAGATTCACCCTGCAATTCTTGCCTAACACTTGTTATCAGTAGATCTCCCCACAAGTGCTCTAAAAAGGGGACCAATATCATTCTCCCTGTTTTTTACAGCTGGGGAACCTGAGGTCCCGAGAGGTAATGCGACTAGGCCAAGGTCACCTGGCAAAGCAGTAATAGAGGTGGAATCGATCCCCTCCTCCCCACCTCTCTCGAGTCCCACTTCAGTGTCGTATGGAAATCACAGACAACGAGGGTTGAAGGGACCTCAGGAGGTCACATCAAGTCTGACCCCTTGCTCCAAGCAGGACCAGCCCCAACTAGATCAGCCCAGCCAAGTATCTCCACCATTTCCTTGTTAATGCAGCTGCTAACCACAGAGTCCTGCCAATGAAAACTGTAGTAGTCGCAGATCAGGATAGTTTTGCGTTGTCCAGTCCAGTTTCTCTTCCCCTTTCTCCCAGGGGTCAGGACTCATTGAGAGAGCAATGCTTCTGTGTAGCCAACCAAGTTCCCTTCAAGTCTGTTTGTTTCTGTAGTGGTTTCTTCCCCAGCTACTGTTGCTAGACTGGTCAGCGGGCAGCACTGTGCATGGCCAGGGGTATCGTGGAAATGTGGTTAGTTACTGAATTCCAGCAGGTGCACGTGTCGTGGGTATGTTCTGGTCACTTGATTGATGGAGAATATTTCTAATTACTTTTTTGAGAAGGAGAGTTTCAAAAGAAACCTAGAAGTCAGTCGGACACTCTAAAGGTAACCATTCAAAAGATCAGTCTAACCTAATATTAGTACTTTGCCTCTTTCAGCTGAATAAATCCCGGTGACTGACAAGTAGGTTGTTGCCTATGAGAGCCAGTTAGTCTCTAAGGTGTCCCCCTGCCCTATCTTCTGCCTTAGTAAGTGGTGTGATAGGGTGGTTTAGCTGTGGATCCTGAGATGACTAGCCTAGGCTAGACTAGATGGGCTGGAAGGGCCCTTCAGAGGCCATCTAGTCCAGCTCCCCATCAGAAGAAGGATCAGCCCTATCCAAACCATACTGTCCAAATCCACCGTTTAACCGATTAGTAAAACTACACAGCCAACCATGACACAACCACAAGGAATAACATCCTAACCTGCCACAGGTAAGGCAGGGGTCAAGATGGACAATGTTCTGCTGCATGAAAGGTTGTTAAAATGCACTGGAAAGATCCAAGGAAGAGGGTCATATCCCCCACTAGAGGAAGGCAACCCCCCCAGTTTGTCCTGTTCAATCCCTACTTCAGACTCATTTGGAAAGTTGTCCTCACTCTATCCAGCTGTAAATGGTACCTAATCCTTCAGGCTGGGGAGTTGAAGATGGCTAGATGTGATGCGACATCACTCTCTTCCATGCCTTATAGACGCATCAATCTTTATTTATTTATTTTTTTTAGGGAAAATGTTTCATGTCCAAAGCCAAATCAGCCAAATTAATTCCAAATCCATAAGTCATTCAAGAACCATATGTGGCCATGCTACCAGCAAGCATCCTCCACCCCTCCTGGGGCTTCAAATGCTTCCAAATTCTTGGGCGGGCATCCTACATGCAGGCCCAAGCTCAGTGGCTTGGGGTTCGGATGCCCCCGAGTTTCACTTGCCCTCAGCCATACGGCTGCAGGAGCTAGGGAGCAGTCTCCCATTTCCATAAAGTTGGCACATAGCTGAGATCTTCCCACTGGAAGTGAAAGTGGGGGTATGCATTACCTAGGTCAGGAAAGTGGTTGTCCCCTGCCAGTAAGAAAACCACCTTAGTGGTCATGGTATTTCCCCTGCCAGGTAAGTATATGGATACATCAGTCCTTGTAGCCGTAGTTTCACTAGCTTGATTAGCTGCCAAGACTCCAAACAGTATGTGGACTTGCTAGGCCTGGCTCTTCTTTTGCTTATGCCCAAGGTAAATCGGGAGGGACACTACTGGGATCAAAGCAGCATGAGCTCAGAATCAGACCCGTTTGCCTTTCATGGCGTCCATCCTCATTTATGACCATGTAAGCTAAGCTAGCCCACAGCTGTAATGGGTCTTGTTTTGGAGATGAGGGAGTGACTCCTTCTATGGGAGGAGATTATTCTTCCCAACAAGCAAGAGAACTGGGTTGCGCCTGGCTCCCAAGGCTCTGCTTGGATGGTGCTGTTATCACAGGCAGAAAAAGAGCTCTTCCAAAAAGACAGGCTAAGTCTGCAGCCAGCGTCAATCACTGTGGTTCCTTTGACATTTCATGTGGCTATGCTGACTGGGGGTCTGTCTCCGTGCTTTTTGAAGCAGATAACTTTAAGCTGAGGTACAAAAAAACCAGTCCATAGATCTGAGCCTTGGTACAGCCAAACAGGCTGCTCCCAGCAACTGCCAAAAATGTTAACGATCGAAACTTTACTGTCGGAGAAGCTGTCCCAGGGGGAATACTGCTTAATTCAGACAGGCGTTTAAAACCAATCCCATCTCCTGCTGCCTCGTGAGTTTTTAACAAAATCTGAGCCTCCCTCTTCTCTGCTAGCAGAGGTTTGTGTATCATATGCCTTTCCCTGTGCGTCTGGCACAAGCAAAGAGTTATTTAAAAATGTGGTTTTGTAGCAATGGTTTTCTTGGCTTCGAAAAGGCAGGCGAAGGCAGACTCCCAGAGCACAACAGGGCTCTTAGCTGGCTATCTTGCCTTTTGTTTTTAAGTGGTCACTAATGGAACATTGTGAACGCGGTTTGCTTTGGAATGATAAGTGACCCTCTTGCAACATTCATCATAGCACAGGCTTGTCTCAAAGAGGAAGACTTGGCTTACAGTATCTCAGCTGCTTGGAAGACACTCTGTATATATTTTTGCCTTTCCAAAAAGTACTATACGGATTGAGCAAGGTTCTTTTTGCCCCCAGTAGTTATGTATTTGACTACAGGTCTGTGGCCAATAGCATTTTAGGTTGTTGTTTATACTACGGTAGCAACTACAAGCCTCGCCTGAGAACAGGGACCCATTGTGCAACGTGTTAAACACGTAGTGAGATGTGGTTCCCTTTTCCAAATAGCTTACCATCTTTGTAGTCAAAGAGCTGTGCGTATGTAAGTCTCTTAACTCCTCCAAGGCCAGCATGTCAGTGCCAATGTTTCTATTTTTGATAGTGATGCACAAGGTGAAGAGAGGTTTGGTGGTCATACCAGGGAGTCAGTAGAGGAGCCAAGAAGTCATTCATTCCCGTCTTGTGGCTGTATTGTGCTTTCTTCTTCCCTTACCCCCAAATGTACCAGTAAGGGATGAATAATGCCGTATCCGTCTTTCAGACAGGAAGAAGTCTTAGACTTTTATCATTAAGAACCGCTATATTGAGTCAGACTGATGAATTCAGTACACCGCATATTCCTTCACTTTGTTGTGTACCAGGCTAATGGTCTTATCTGGTAAGGTATCTTGGCTTTCCTCCATCACACTTAGGGCTTGTCTTTATGGCAAAATCTTGCTCAAGTCAGTGCACTTGAGTTAATTCATGTGGGAGCTTAAGCTAATTACTCTCAGTGGTTGGATTGAGGCATGAAAGGTTGGTCTTGCTTAAAAAAAATATTTATCCTCACCAGCATAACTATGGGTTATGTTACATTATGCACACTCTCCTAATTTCTTTGCCTCAATTGTGCACTTTGGCGGTGAGTTCCATAGATCAGTCACTGGAAAACAGAATTCATTCCAAGTACAGTGATGCTTTTACAGCTTACCAGTGCTTCTGGAAATGGACATTCAAATCCTGTAGCACAATTAAAAGTATGACTGACTAAGATCAACACATTTCTAACTTCCCATTTGTTATTAATTTGTTTCACAGGCTGTTTCTCTGGAAGTATTTTGAAGCCCGGGCTTTGGATGAAGAGAGAGATTCATCTGCTGAATTGACACATTTCACTTTCAAGAAAATTCAGAACAGAATTAAGTTTGACTTGTGTGTTTTCCCAGTCTTGACTGACCTCTGACTGATGAGAACATGTTGCTTGCTCTTTGTTAGGCCTTATCACATACAAATCATCTTGGATTTGAAACTTTTATGTCGTTCCAGACTTTTTTTGAGGAGCTTACACTTGTCTTTCAAGAGTTTATCGGCAAATCTTTTTTTTAGGAAAACATCGCAACTGCCTGGAATGAATTACCTGAATTGTTTTGTTGTTGGTAACGTATCCAAGTAATTTTCGAGTGTCTGGAATCAATTCCTTGAGATATTTTGATACAGAGCTCTTCTTCCTAAATGTTCCTGTTCCTTTTCCAAACCTCTTTATTTTTAAATGTTCTGTGCCATCTTCTACAGATTATTTTTTTAAGTGTGTTTCATTAAGAACTAAAAAGCCATCTTCAGCTGAGGAATTACTTTGTTGAACTCTGCCTGGCTTGGCTGCCTCTGAATACCAAAGGCTTTAATAATCGTCAAGATGTCTACTAAAGTCCCAATCTACCTGAAAAGGGGCAGCAGGAAGGGGAAGAAAGAGAAACTCCGAGATATCCTCTCTTCTGATATGATCAGCCCTCCACTGGGGGACTTCAGGCACACGATTCACATAGGGAGCGGGGGAGAGCATGATATGTTTGGAGATATTTCTTTCTTGCAAGGGAAATTCCACCTTCTGCCGAGGACCGAAAGCAACCTAGATGCCGACAAAGATGGCTCCTATGGAGTGTCATTTGAGTTCTCAAGGACTGCTACCATCTCTGGGCATGAGCAACCATTGTCTGAAACCCCTTCGCCCCTCTTAAAGAATGCCATCTCGCTGCCTGTGATTGGAGGCCCGCAGGCTCTTATGCTGCCTTCGACCCAGGCTCCACCCAAACCACCACGGCTGCACCTTGATGACAAAGTTCAACTGGCTCAGCCAGGCAAAGAAGCTGGGGAAGAACTGGTCTCATCCAAGAACGGCAGGACTGCAGAGCCCAACCCCCATTTCTGCCCCACCACTGAGTCGTTCACTATTGCTCAAAATGGGTTTGTTGAAGAGAAAAATGAGGATAAGCCCTTTATGTCCCACGCCGGCTCCTTGCTCTCCCTCCACGTGGATCTGGGGCCATCTATCTTAGAGGACGTCCTTCAGGTGATGGAGAAACACCAAGCTGGTGCATCCATATCGGATTCCAGCAGACAAGAAATCCTGACGTGAAAACTGAGAGGACTTCCCCAGGGGAGGGCTCTAAAATGAAGTTTTGTAAATAAAAATATTTTTTTTCTCCAAGTGGAACATGGATAATTGGGCCAGTCTGAACAAGTGATTTTTATCCAGTCTGGGATCCTGAAAGCATATCTTCACTAATAGGATATTGTTCAGCTTATAGGGATATGTTACTTAGTCTTCCCAGAGATCTTCATACCGACAGAATGAGATTTTTTTTTTTTTTGGGTGGGGGGGGGTACTTTCTGCAGGCCCTCCAATGCCTCTCAATCCTGAAAACAACTATGGAGTCATTGTAAATTCAGATGCAACTATAAATTGCAAGTTACCAATAAGGACTTTAACTTGACTGACATGATTAAAAAGTTAAAAGATGTGCTTTAAAAAAAAAAAAGTGTCATTTTAAAGGGTTTGTACAGGGTGTGGTGTGACTGGTGGTGTTGTGAAATATCAATGGTTTAATCCCAAAAGACCTTGGTTCAGATGGTGAGCGAGATACTATTTTTATAGAGAACTTTTTGAAGTAAAAGCTGCAAAGTATGCCATATGGCTGACGCCTATTGTCAAAGCAGAAAAGGCTGTAGGTTGGAATATAACTGCATATACTTAAGAGGATTTCTCATTAGCATTGTAATCAAGATTCACTGTTCACATTCTAGCTGGATAACTCGCCTACAGATGTAGTGTAACAAAAATCAGGTTGATCTGTACTGTTCTAAAGCAGACTATTTTCCATCTGTACTTACTATTTGAAGACGTGACCACTTGATGTTTTGCAGGTAACTTCAATTGTCAAATAGACTGTTAGCAACTTTATTTTATTTTTGCCTTTTAATTGGATTTTTTTTAAACTGCCAACTTACTAGTAAAACTACTGGGAAAAAAAATCCATTGGCCTTTGATGTTGTTCCTTCTTTCTAAAGAAGATAAGAGTAAAAAGCTGGCGGGCTCTGTGTTTTAACAAAGACATCACTACATGCAATGGCTGAAGGTTGACAGGTTCAACTTCCAGACTCTATATAAGCCCAAAATATTTTAGCAGTGAGGGCGACTGACCACTGGAACAGATGACCAATGAATGTGGTAAAGTCTTTATTCCTTGGTGTCTTTAAATCCAGGCAGGCTGACTAAAAAAGATGTGCTTTCATAGATTTCATACACCTTAGAGCTGGAAGGGACATCGAGAGATCATCGGGTCCAGCCCCCTGCCCAAAGAGCAGGAAGTCAGCTGGGGTCAGATGATCCTAGCAAGATAATCATCCAAACACTTCTTGAACGTGTCCAGAGTAGGTGCTTGCACCACAATTCACACCATTTAATTTCTGCAGTGAGCCAGTGAGTGAAACTTTCTTCCTGTGTCATGCAGGATGTTAGACTAGCTGACGTGGATCCATGCTGCCTTGAAACCTATGGAAATCCAAATTCTGCTGCCATTGGAACTGCAGAAATAACAGAGACAGCATTTGGTTCCTTTGGACCTAACGCATTTGGACGCCCAATGCCCTTCAAAATCTTTTGGGGGTGTATCGCTTATTTTTAATGTGTGAACACCTAGGGAATCCAGTCTATCTATCTTAATATTTATGGATCTCTCTGTGCTGTGCAAAAATGTTCAACCATGGCTTTATGCAGGGTGACTTCAGAAATGCAAGCAGCAATTCTGTTAGTAGCAGTGAGAAATAGAATCGATTAGCCCCTCTGCAGGGCAGCATTAATGTGGCTAAATTGCTGTCTGGTTCCAGAGTGAGTGCAGAGTATTTGCACGCTGTGGACTTGTGTTGCTGTAAATATCTGAGTACCTCATAATCGTTTGATGCATTGTATCCCTGTAATCTCCCTGGAAAGCAGAGAACCTTTTTTGCAGCCAAAAGCTAAATGTCTCTAACCTCTGGTATCTGGTTCCTTCTCTGGGAAGGAAAATCATCTCATGCTTGGAGTGGGACTCCTGGGTTTCCTTCCCAGGTCTAGAGGGTGTTATGGTTCACTGTTCAAAACCAGTGAGGGGGTGGAAGGGTCTGCAAGTTGGAACTGGAAGCTGTTCCCAGCTCAACCACTGACATATGGCTTTCAGCAAGTTCTCTGTGCCTCAGTTTCCATGTCTGCAGAACAGAGATAGACATGCCTTTTGTGTGCTGTGCCAGGGATCTGAAGCTTGAAGTATGTGGAACTCCTATACATAAAGGCAATAACTAATTGTTGAAGAATCAGTTGTGAAATTTTTGGCAGCCTTGGTTTTTAGCACTATGGAAATTTCTTATTTCCTTATGCATCCTAAAGTGCAATGACTTTCTGCTTTATTTCCCTGAGCCTTGACTGTTTAATCTTTCTATAGGGGAATAAATAATGACTCATTAAGTTAACAAGCACTCATCTTGTCACTGCACAATTGTCTCGCAGCTCTTGTTTATGCTACCCATCTGTTTCTGTTGGGAGGCTTTGCAAAAGAAGCAACGTGCATGCAATTAAGGTGCCTTATAAGGCAGTGCTACATGAGAGAGGCAGAAATTTTGGTTTAATAAGTATTTTACCAACTTTCTAGCTCTCAGGCTGCAAAGCAGATAAATTGAACCCAGTCTGGAGTCAGTGGCAGCCTGTGGATTTAATTCTAATCTGAATTTAGGTTCATTTTAATTAGTCTAGTTTTAATTCCACTGGGCTAAATTCTTATCTGACGCAAGGTGGTGTAGCTTCCTTGATCTCTATGGCGCTATGCTGAGTAACAGTAGCAGAGGTTCTTTCAGAAAAGTGGCTCCTGACTTATGATCTAGGTCAGCGTTTCTCAACCCATGAGTCGCAACCCAAAAGTGGGTCACGAGAATATATGAAAGGGTTGCAAACAAACTTTAAAAATGGATTCTCCTTTACAGGAGAACATACTGGGAAACCGTGGCTTTTCCCTTGCAGGCTGGAGCTCTGCCAGCCTGCAAGGGGCAGTTTGGGGCTCCCCATGCCCCCCCCCGCCCCACACACACCCTCTGCCCCACACTGTGGGTCTGGGGCTGAGGGGCAGTGGCTTGGGAGTAAGGGTCACTGGATCAAGACTGGCCACTGAGGTTAACAAATGGGTCCTGGTACAAGAAAGGTTGAGAATCACTGATCGAGGTGACCCTGGTTGTCTCTATTGGTGTAAAGTGAGTGCAAACTGCTCTGGTCTAGTGGTATTTGACAGTGGCTTAGTATGGGTTCAAGTGGCTACAAAACTTGCCAGCAGTGGAAAGCTTCGTTTGATGGGTATAATATGCTTCCTACTGTGGTATCGGGACTTGGATTTTACTTCTCATTCTCAGCCAGACACCACTGCAGGGACTTCCAGGCACCTTAAAAAAATGGATGCTTATAAATGCTATTGAGGTTTGGGAGGAAGTAGGAGACTGTTATCATTTCACCCTTGCAGGCACCAGCCACATGTTACATATATTGTGCAATTAACTGGTTAATTGTGCAATAAATTTAGACCAGCCACCTGTGCAAAGTAAGGCTGGCCATGCCTGCAAAATAATTATCATGCAATGAACTGGTCAACAGTATGCAATAAATTTAGACTGGCCACATGTCTGAAGTAATCATCACCCCATAAAAATGTCCATCCAAACTATAAAAAGAGCCAGTCACCTGCTAAGTTAGTGCTTGGGAATTTGTAACAATTTTATAGCTGGTTTCTATCCAGCTTTAATGTGAACATGCGGCAGGGCCCGCAGTGCCATGCTTTATCTAGGCTTCATCTCCATCTGCGAGTCTGTCTCCTCTTTCTGTTTCACAGTTAACTTTTTGTTTTCTAACATACCAAAGCTGCTGTTCAGCTGCACAATTCTGAGAAAAATCTGGAACGGACTGTGCTTTGAGAGCATGGCAGAGCTGCTAACGGGCGGCTCTGCTTTTTTTCTATCACAGTTTATAATCCTCATGGGAGCTTTGTGTCCATGGCGACAACACAGCGGCATTTGTTTCCATGGATTTCACCTAAGCTGGCACATCAAAGTGAAATGCACAAATAGATTTGAGTCCAAGATTAAGGTGTTTGGAGACTGCCCCTGACAGACACGCACAGACTCTCGCTCTCTCGCACCCTGTCCTTATCAGCGTTACAATATCAGAAATGTGTGCTGAGCAGGACAAAATAACCCTCGCCGAGAACTGCTTGCATGCAGGATTAGATCTGCGTGGCGGTACTGCGGGAATCAATCTTCCCAGCTGTCAGAGGCGTCGATCCCATTTTAAAACTCTATTGTGGAGATGACGTGCGTAAAAGCCCAAATTGCGTGCTCCTCTTTGTGACCTTAGTCTCAAAAGTTGCTTTGCTGTCAACGGTTGCTTCTTCCTGTGCTCCTAACTCATTAATGAGGGATTCACAGCATTAATCTCTCAAATCTGCCATCCAGTCTCCTGTTGCACTTCATCAAATCAGTGAGCAGGAGAGCTTACTGTCCTTGCTGATCAACACAGTGGGCCCATCTCTCCCCACCTTCCTGCCACATCACACCAGACCAGCGGGCTCATTTTTGTCTCTCTCCCTTCCTGCTATACTGTTTCCTATCCTACTGCCAGGACATCCCACTAACTGATACTTGCAAAGTAAAGACACCCAATCATCTGCTTGAATAACGATATGTTAAGTGCTGGCTGAAGGGATGAAAGGCATCTATCTTCTTACGATGCCTACTCTGGTTTTGCGATAAGCTTCCATATTCTCTGGGATTTATGACCTGGCTATTAAACCAAAAAACCCCCCAGCAAAAAACAAAACCTAAAACAAAACAAAACATTAATTATTTTGAGGTTAGCCAACTGTAAAAATAACAACCAGCTTAAAAGCATTGCTAATAACTGAGGTAAAAAGAAAAAAAGGCTCTTTATAATCTGGTAGGGAATGTGCTGTGCCTGTAAGTGTTAATTTTTTTTTTAAACTACATAATTAGAAACAAGAAAGGCCAGGCATGACTTGCCTCACTGGTGGGGTAAGTCGCTTGAATTTCGCCTCATGGTTTACTGTATACTGTACAGGGGAATCATGAGATCTGGTTTCAATGCTCACCAGCTGTCCATGGATGCGTTATATATAAAGT